GGTTTCGCATTAGCACGATTAAATGTTCTGGGATTGCCATTCTTCTCACAGTCAGCCACAGTTTGTTATGATCCACACAGTCAAATGCCTTTGCATAATCAATGAAACACAGATAGACATTCTTCTGGTATTCCCTGCTTTCATCTAAGATCCATCTAACATCAGCTACAATATCTCTAGTACCACGACCCCTTCTAAACCCAGCCTGGACTTCTGGCAGTTCTCTGCTAATGTGCTGTTCCAGTCGTTTTTGGATAATCTTCAGTAGAATCTTGCTTGCATGTGAAATCAATGATATTGTTCTGTAGTTTCCACACTCAGTTGGGTAGTCAAGTGTTTAACCCCTGCATCACCAAGGACAAATAGAAGTTCCTGAGTGGAGCATGTTGGTAAGTACCCTCAGCTTCTAACAGAAAGGCCAGCAGTTTGAACCACTCACAGGCATCTTGGCAGAAAGGCCTGGCAATTTCTTTTTTTTTTTTTTTTAAATATCACAGGCCTGGAAAGTCCTAGGAAGGAAAGCAGCTCAAGTTTGCAACACGTGGGCTTTGAAAACAGAAAACTCAGTTGTAATATGCACTGCAATCCCAATAGCACACAGTTCAAATCCACCAGCTGCTCCTTGGGAGGATGGACGATGCTCTCCTGTGCACTTACTACCTCTGAAATCCCGTTGGAGGATCAGCTGTGTGTCGGTTCCAACTCCACAGAACACGACAACAACACCAAGGATGTAGAAAAGCCCCACTGCTGTCAAGTCCGTCCCACCCAATCACAAGTCTCCACTGGTTTGGAAGCCTTTATTTGAGGACGTCGCCCCTCGATCTACTGTGAAAGCAGCAGCCAGTGGATTCGAACCCCTGGCTTCTCAGACCAACAGACCAAAAAGCAAAATGCCAGCTAGTTTCTTGGAACGAACCCTGAGGGTGCAGTGATCAAGTGCTTGATTGCTAACCCAACGTTCAGCAGTTCAAATCCTCTTAGATTCTTAGTGGGAGATGCAGTTGATGTCTATAAAGGTTTCTCCTGTGGAAACCCTTTGACGCCGCTCTATTCCTGCCCCAAATGTAAGTATCAAGATGGGCAAGGCTTCTTCAGACTGTAGTTTACGAAATTCTGTTTGAAACGATGAAGCTAGAAAAAGCAATCCCATTCTACTGTCATCTTACTATAACATTCTCATGTGCGCTTCTTTGGTAAAGTCACATTATTAATTACATGCAAGCACGCGGCAAAGCAAATGTGAGACTGTTGTGTCTTGTCATCGCATGCTTTCTATTCATTTTGTTTATCTGAGTCAACGTTTACACATCATATTGATTTTTCACATAATCATTCACAGACTGGTTTATAACATTAATTCTCATTGATCACATGGTTAATTTATGGCGCTTTTTTTTTTTTTACTGCCCTGTCTGTCCCTTCTCATTCTTATCAAACCGCCAAGATTGGCTCTCTCCCTGTGTAAACCTTGCCTTGTTGTCATTAGGTGACACTGAGTTACCACAACTCATAGCGGCACTGTGACCTACAGACCTGAACCCTGTCATCCCCTGTGTCCTCCTAACCATCTCCGACACACTCGAGCCCAGTGCAGCAGTCACCACGGCAGTCTATCTGGTTGAGGTTCTTCCCCACCTTCTCTGACCCTCCACCGTTCCAAGCTGATGATGTTCTTTGTCTAAGGACTGGCCCCTCCTAACACACCCCGAGAGAGTGAGGCTGGGTCTTCCTGTTGTAACTGGTTTATGTCACTGGCTGCCCAGGAAGGAACTCTCCACTTCCTCGTCTTTTGTCTTTCAAGGAAGATGCCCTTCTCTATAAACCAACCACGTAATGGACCTCTTGGGTCTATTATCCACCCTGAGCAAACTGCAGTCAAACCCAGAAGTCTGTCTACCTGCTAAACCACCCAAGAGGGCACTCTGAGTCCAGAGCCTTCTGATCTCTGATCTGGCAAAAGTGGGGGCATTTTAGAGGTGGACTTGTTAATCCTCAGCACAGGTGTGAAAGGACAGCTTCCCTCCCCTTTGCCAGCCCTATTCTCAGCTCGACCAGAGGAATGTCTGTCTTTCATTGGCTGTGCAAAGGCATTTGTCTAGGAAGGCAGTTTGGCATTTCCTCAAAAAGCTGAACATAGACATTTCATGAGACCCAGCTATTCCACTGCTTGGAATATACCCCAAGGAAATGAGAACTGAGGTACAAACAGAGACTTGTACACTAATGTTCATAACAGCATAATTTACCATAGCAAGAACACGGAAACAGCCCAATGTCCAACCACAATTAAATGGACTTAGAAAATATGGCATATTCACATGATGGAATACTATGCATCACATAGGAGCAATGATTTTGTAAATCACTACCTAACTTGGGAGGGACTGGAGAGCATTATGCTAAGTGAACTAACTCAGGTCTGTAAGGACAAATACTGTATAAGACCATTATTGTAGAAATAGTTAACTAGTAAAACGTGTATGCGGATCTAAGGGGTGGGGGGACGGCAGAGGGATGAAGATAGGCAGGCAGGGTGGTAATCATAGGGTGGCACAATTTGATGGGTGGTGAGAGGGGTGTGGTAAGGAAATGGGGAAGATCCGATGTGAAAAACAATGTATACTAACTTTATAAGTAAACCTGTAGAAAAGAAAAACATATTTTTTTAAAAAAAAAGCACTTGTGTGGATCATAAAAAATTGTGCCTGATTGTGCTCAAGCGAAGCCTATACCTGGATAAAGAGAAGCAGTCATCAGGACAGAGCGAGCAAACACTGCCTGGTTCAAAATCAGAAAAGGAGTGTGTCATGAATGTGTCCTGTCTCCATACCTTTCAACCTGTAAACTGAACAGATCATTCAGGAGGCTCAATTTCATGAGGAGAAATGTGGCATCCGGATTGGAGGAAGACATTACGCAGATGACACAACCTTGCTTGTCAAAACTGGAGAGGACTTGAAACACTGGTAACCGAAGGTCAAGGACTGCAGTCTTCACTATGGATTGAAACGCAACATCAAGAAAACAAAGATTCTAACCACTGGACCAATTGCAGCACCATAATAGATGGGGAAGAGATTGAGATTGTTAGCAATCTCAGTTTGCCCGGCTCCACAACCAATACTCTTGACACCAGTAGTCAGGAAACTGAACGATAAATTATATTAGGAAAATATGCTGTCAGAGACTTCTCCAGAGTGCAAAAGAGCAACGATGTCAGTCTAGAGACTAAGGTGTGTCTGGTCTAAGACATGGCCTTTGCAATTACTTGCTATGCCTCAGAGAGCTGGACAATGAATAAAGATGATAGAAGAATTGATGCCTTTGGGTTATGGCTGTGTAGAAGAGTAGTGAACCTACCATGGAATGCTGAGAGAATAGACATGATTGTCCTGGAGATAGTGAAACCAATTTGATTTTGAAGGTCTTTCTGATATACATTGGGCATGTTGTGAAGAAGGACCAGTCTCTGGAGAAGGACATCATGCTTGGAAGGATTGAATGACAGCACAAGAGAGGTTGATCCTGGATGAGATGAATAGACACAATAATGGGATTATTAGGGTCAAAAGGGTCAGAAACTGAAACTGGCTCAGGATAGGGCAAGGTTCAGAGCCATTGTAAATAGGGTTGCTATGAGTTGCAAAGGACTCAGGACACATAACAACAACTACTTGTCAAATAACTTCAAAAGAGGTAAAAAATAATTCCTGGAAATAGAATTTAAAAAAAACAAACAAACACCAAAACAACAAAAATTGGTTCCCTTGGGGGAAGGAAAGTCCCCAGTGGCATAGTTTTCAGTGTCCCATCAAGCAGAAGTTAGCAGTCTGATGTCACCTAGTGGCGAGCAAGAAAGGCTGCACTGAAACAGATGAGGGAGAGAACTGTTTAAAAGGGATATATGATTGGGTATTATTGTCATGACAGGAATACAGAATGAAGGAATGGACTTGGGGGAGGGAATGTATAACAAGGAGTTGGTGGGGAGGGCTGGGCAGGGAGAAAAGTGCAACAATGAATGACTGGAAACCCAAAGTCTCTAAATTTTCATTAAAAGTAATAATAATAATAATAATAATAATAATTTTAAAAAGAGAAAGGCCTGATAACTTACTGCCTTTAAAGATTTCTATTCGTTACCACTGGATCCTCACAGCCTAACGTGCTGGCTCCATGGGGTTTTTGACGGTGTGACCCTTTTGAAACCACCTGTCTTCCTAGCCACCCAAGAATTCCCTCCTCCCGCGCTGAACGCCCTCGGGAGCGCAGTTCGACTCTGCAGCACATGAGGTCGCCCTAAGTCTGAATCCACTGCGGGGCATCTTTTTGGAGGAAGAGGAAGTGGCGGTTGGCAGCTGGGAAAGGGCACAAAGAAACTTCTTGAGAATTTCCATCAGCCGATGTGAGAAGGGTTTCCAACCCTTCATAGTGAAGAACTTGCCCCGGGTTGAGAAAGGAGCACCCCGCCAGCGGCTGTGCGTAACGGTTTAGGCCTTGTTCACGTTTGAGGTCTGTTTGGTGTTGGTGTTTCATGAGTTCATTCGCCACATGCGTTTTAAGAATCGCCACTTTGCATTAAGACCTAAAGTCTCCCTCTTGCAACTCCCTCCTGCCAGATCTTGGATTCTCCGGGCACTGAATCAGGTGTCACTTTCGCTGTCAGAAAAAGCCTACGCGCCCGGCGACGTTGGCGCCTTTAAAGGACTTCCCTCCTCGCTGTGGGGCCCCTGTCTCTGTAGGGGGGCGTCTCTGCCAGCGGCCACCAGCCGAGCGGGCCAGGCTAGAGCGCAGCACCCTCTCCCAGGACGCACTTGGTGCCAACACCAGCTGCCTCCGCAGGGCGCGCGCGGAATTTTAAACCCAGCACCATTGGTGTCCCTCCGGCTGTCAGCTGAGCCCAAACACCCGAGGCGTCGGTGTGGGCAGTCAGCTCTCTGCCCCGTGCAAGGATCTCAGCCACACCGGACGCCCCCCAAACCGTGCGCCCCACTTACCGCAGCTCTGACCTCAACAGCTGCGTGTAGCTGTAGCATCGCCCCAGGGCGATCTCCGAGATGTGAGCGGTGGTGCCTGGGCCCCCCCACTGCAAGGGCTCGGATGGACGGACCAGCAGGAAAACTGTCACCGCCACCACCACAACCAGAGCCATCAGGGCGCAGAAGCAGAGCAGCCAGATCAGGCGCCGAGGGCTCCTCCTGGGAGAAGTCTCCGGATCCATGGAGCGCAAGGGGGTCAAGCTGGGCAGGAAAAGAACTGAGAGTTAGCGGGGTTCTGAGAGGGCTCGGTGTCAACTTTCACTCGCCTTTTCTCTGCCCACAGCCCCTCCTTGAAAGTCCCCTGGCTTGCTGGGCCAAGAAGGGTTTACAGGCCAATTAAACCAATAAGGATTTACTGGGGAAAAAACTTCAACAAACACTCACCTTTCCTCTTGTGCTCTCTCCGGAGCAGCCTGATCCTGATGCTCCATCTCCCTTAACTGTCTGTGCGTGCTGCCAGCTAATCTCTGTCCCCCTCGACCAACTGTCTCTGCAACCTTGCACTGGATTCATGAACCACTGACCTATGCCCAGAAGTGGTGCTCTGCACAGGCCGTGTGCTCTGAGCTCTGGATGCCCAGCGTCTGATTTCCAGCCCCCACATGCTTTCATTTTCACTCGCTCGGGCCGTTCAGAGAGATCATCATATCCTGTGTCAGTGTAGAACCGCTCTGTTAGATTTTCTTGGCTGTCATAAAGGAAGAGGGCTGTGGTGGCTTTGCGGTAAGGAGCTGTGCTCCCAACCCAAAGGCTCAAGGTTCACATCTACCGGTTGCGCCACAGGAGGAAGATGGACAATCTCCTCCTGTGAGATTTACTGGCTCTGACAACCTGCAGGGTTGCAGTTAGATGGTGCACACCATCAGCACTAACAGTCTTACTGGAAACAATTGGCGAAACTTTCCTGGAGCCAAAGGGCAGAATCGAACCTCTGAACGCTTCGCAAAATGCTTGACCACCCAGACCTCACAGTTTCTGGAAAGTAGAGAACTGGATTCTTGGAGCTGGTCTCCCAATCCCAAATTTAAAGTAAAGAATCCAGAGCTCAATCATTTAGAGACATAGAAAGACATAGGAGGGAGAATCATTAACTAGACAGTAAAACCAAACACCAGCACCTGGACCATGGAGTCAATGCCTGCTCACCCGGACTTCTGAGGCTGTAAATCTGAAGGGCATCTGGGGGTCTCCAATAGTCATAAACACAACACTAACGCGCCAGGGCTCCTTGGCGAGAAACCAGACAGGTAGTAACTCATCACTCAGCATCATTGATCCTGGTTGTATCCATGTTGTGCGCTCATTTACGAATTCAGGATGATTGCTTCTTCTTGTGGGTGGATGGATGCCTGAAAGTCAGCTATCACTCACAGTGGCCCTATGAACAACGAGTGTGAACCTGACCTCATTCTGTGCCATCCTCATCATCTCTGACACTCTTGAGACCGTTGTGACAGTCATTGTGTCAAACCTCCTCCCTGGAAATCTTCCTCTCTTTCTAAACATGATGTCCTTTTCCAAATAATAGCGCTTCCTAACAACATGTCCAGAGTATATGGGAGAAAGCTCCACAGTCTTATTTCTAAAGAGCAAGCCATTTGCACTTTCCTCAACACATATCTATTGGTGGTTTTTTTTAAGTCTTTGGGATGTTCAGTACTCTTATCCAACACCACAACTCAAAAAAGTCAATCCTACTTCTGTCATCTTTAGTCATTTTCCAACTTTCATAGAATAGCAAGTAATTTAAAAGACCACGGTTTAAATAAATTAGAATAAAATTTAAAATATATATACATACACACACATATATA